TTGGCAAAATTTGATGCACACGCCATTCCGAAATCGCAGGAGGGTCGGTGTAATGCACTACCAAAACGCCCGTAACTAAGAAACAAATGCTAATTCGATGATGCCGGCTGGCACACTGATTCACTATGAATGTAGGTCGCACCCCTTAGTGGCAGAAGCTCGTACTACATCCGGTTCGCCCTCTATTGACACAGTCTAGAAACTTTCCGTTCGCACCTCGTAAATACTGAACGGTTTGATGAATAAGAGTCTACATCTAGGATGAGGGGCCAGATTCTGGGTCCTTCTCGTGTCTTAAGTGCTTCTTAAAGTAGACACCTCGGGTTGACTTCCTTTTCTTGAGTTGTCTCTCACGAAGCAATTCTCGGTAGCAAGAAATCATGTCGAGAAGACCTCAATTAGCCTGGCTGCTGCACTCGCAGTCGTGAACATTCTCAGTAAACTGGTCCATGATTGCTGTGATCTTGGTGATGTCACTGAGGAATTATGTGGTGAGGGTCGTCGGGGTCTTTAGCCCCACTCTGGATGCGCTGCTCTCCTCGTCGGTAAGGCTCTCACCATGAGACTGCAATAACTCCTCCATTGGTACATTGGTATTCTCCAGTTCTGCTTCATTGGCCGGCTCGACTAAGTCACTGACGACATCTGATGTCGCTTCAAACCCAGGAAGTCGCTGGATTCTTCCAGACCCCGTGCATGCAGTTTTTGATTTCTTTATCCTTCATGATGTGGCAGTTTTCCCATAATTGATCGATTGTTTAACTTCAACAAGTTTTCTGAAGGTTCGAGGAAGGTAGTAGGCCTTGAAATTCGAATTGACTCCCTGATCCGTTGGTCGTAGTAAGAAAGTTGTGCTTGGCGAAAGGTAAACCACTTCTACAGACATGCAGGTCCAAAGGATGTCTAGATTGTGTGAGTGGCCTGGGGTTTTATGGAGCACCGACAATTCTCTCCGGGTTTAAGTTTGTTTCCTTCACATCAGCGTCTCACTTCTGGGCAAATTGTAACACAAAACTGCTGGAAAATATTAATTATCACCCAGGCATTCTCGTTTGTTTCCCAAATCAGATGTAATTTTGAAAATCCCTTCATAGCTCGTGGTGTATCAGACTGACAGACGATCATCGGCTCCTGAGGCGTCATCACCCAGGAGCAGTGTTGAACGGTCTTTTCCAACCTTGAACCCAGAAGCATATTTCTCTTCTCGGGAGATGAAAGTTCGTGATGGCATTGTCTTCCAGAAAAGGCTATTTGCCATGCTCGATTGCAGCTTTGAGAGTAACAGGAATCTCCTGGGTGATTTGTCCACACTCGCAGCTTCAGTGATGTGGATGAACTCATCAAACCAATCTCTGGTAGCTGAGAATGTTTTTGGGACATCTCCTTCTACTCCCTGCAGATGAATGACGTTCCTCCGTGGTTCTTCAATGATGATGAGTTGGCTTAATGCCATGTTAAGTTGCGTTTGGTAATCCACCCATGTGCTAAGTCCGCTTTCCGTTTTGTTCTAACAAACTGCTCCTTGAACGAACTACCTTCGTTACCGATAACTTCGAGGTCGTCATGACAGAATCGTTTATCTTGTCTCCATTTTTAATAATGGTTATAGTTATTGATGTAGCCAAGATCAAAGGAGAGCCGACATCCACCTGACACTCTTGCCAGTTTCTAACAGCCTCAACACTTGAGAGTTTTACATCCAAGGAGAGGCTTTGATGTACTTGAAGTAGTTGAACTTGTAGGCCGCTTTCCAGAATAGAATGAATAACATAGAAAAATCTGCGAGACAATGCGGTGGAGCTTGGACTAACTAACATACGCGAGCGCTGATAGGATATGAGAGTACAAATGTGAAGCGCTCTGATTCGAATATTCGAAGACACTAGTACTTCTGGACATATCGGGACACTCACTCCTACATCTTTGGCCGATATGTACATCTAATAATATTTAAGAAAAACAACACCTTCGCCCAAAAATGGAAAAACAAACGTAATGAAACATCACCAAAAAAACTACAGAAATCATAATTGAGTTTTAAGTTCTTAGATATATTTTACACCTGATGATGGTTTTATAAAAACCGAAACATGTTGTGTAAATGTTCCGAAATGTAAATCGATCAATCGATATGGAACATCAATGATATTTTATTATCTTAATTATAAGAAATTTTAAATGTTTTAAATATTGTGATAAGACGGATTAAAATAAATAATTGTTATAATATTCACAATATGACGCAATTACACTATCTTATCGATTTTAATATCGTACTTTCATCTATGACGTGGAGTTCCGAGCTGCCTCTTCAGTATAGGCGCTGGGACATAACTCTCATCACCTAAATGCTTGCTACACATCCCGCCCATCCTCATGTTGTCATTTATTATACATGGTGGATAGCACAAACTCTAAAGCTCCTTACCTCGCAATCGCCTCCTGCCATTTAGACCTTTATATATAGGGTGATTCAAAAATGACTTTATAACTTTAAAAGTGTATAGAAATGTATTTAGAAGGCTTACAGAATCGGTTGAGGTGTCATTTTGTAGCAAAACAAAATCTGGAGAACGAGGTGGCCATGCTATCGACCCTGTTCGACCAATCCACCGACCTGGGAAACGGTTATTGAGGAAATCCCGGACTTCTGTGAGGTAGTGAGGTGGTGCGCCGTCTTGCTGGAAGTGAATGCGTCCTTTTTGGTCATCTTCGTCTGACTGTGGTATGAGAAATTTTTCGAGCCATTTTTAAATGCACTGCCGCTTGCGCTCGCGGTGACGGAATTCGGTACTACAGCACAACGTGAGTTAAACTTGATTTGTTTTGCTACAAAATGACACCTCAACCGATTCTGTAAGCCTTCTGAATAAATTTCTATACACTTTCAAAGTTGTAAAGTCCTTTTTGAATCACCTCGTATATCGTATATTGTACAAGTTTGCCTTTCGTGCTATGCAAAATAAATTCAAAGTACGTTCTGAGGGATGCGACTCAGGTAGCATAGAATTAAAACGAAGCTCGTTCGATGCTAATAGTGGAGTGTGGTGGATATTTGCTTGTAGGTAAATATTTTCGCATTTAATTTACTTTACAAATAAATTTTATAAAATATATGCACTCTTTACATAAACTAAGTAAGCCCTAGAAACTTTGTACGTCCCGTACAGAAAATGACGCAAGAGTACGACGTGGTGAATCGGATCTACATCTGGACGTGCAACCATGAGGATGGAAGATCTCTACAGTGGCTTGTGACTACGTCAGCGAGGCTCCTGACCCCCAGAAATTCCTCTCTTTGAGTAACAAGCAGATGGCAGCCTTTCAATCGAGAAGTTGATAGCGTGAAATGGGGACCTCTCGGAGTCAACTGGGTCTCACTGGCGCCGTGCCGTGGAGAAATACGGGAAACACGTTCTGGACACACAGGCATACCTCGGAGATATTGCGGGCTCGGTTCCAGACCAACGCAATAAAACGAGTCACACGAATTTTTTGGTTTCCCAGTGGATATAAAAGTTATGTTTACACTACACTGTAGTTTATTAAGCATTATGTCAGTGTCGGCCACTGAATTGCCCGCCATGAGGGACAGAATGTGAGAAATGAAAGCCTCAGTGCATTGCTAAGACCAGGTGTTTTAAGTATTGTTCTCACATTGTTTTAAAGCGCATTTATGAAGCATTATTTAGTGAGAATTTAATTATACTGCTGTAGAATAAATCCAGCTTGAATTGAACTCACGACGTTGTTACAAAATATAATTTTCCCCAGGTGCTACCTAATCTCAAGCACTCGCAATGAATATTAGCCCCTGAAACTGAGACACAAATTTTGATACCCACACAAACAACAGGAAAAATTACTTTGGTTCGTTTTAATAGCACTGGAAACACAAAATATTGGTATTTAAATAGACTTGCAGAGAGCTGTAGTAGTATTTAAAAGGGACCGCAAAGGGTTAATATTAGTAATTAAAGTACGTTTGTTGTTTGATTCAGTTTTTTGTTTGATTAAGTGTGTTTCTTCTCTTGACATACAATAGGCCGAGTTAACTTTCTTAAAATTATGAAGAATAATATGTGTGCTTTTGAGTATAAACAGTCGGATATAATTTTCTATTTATTTTTTGTAATAATAAAACAATTTCTTTTCTTATTAACATTACTATTCATTTTCTGTAATAATAAAGCTTCTAATTCATTTTATAATAACAAAAAAACAATCGGAATATTGTTCATTAAATATGCATAACATACCAAAGAAAACATGTGTACACTTATTTACGAAAATAGATAAACATTCGATTTTTAGTGATTTTTTTTCCCGAATTGTGCGCAATCTCTACTCACTTTACCTTATAAACTACGCCTTAGCAGTTATTATTTCGAACTTACAACTAATCCTGTATGTTGTTTGATCTTTGTGCCATTAACATACAAAGTTGTTCCTGCATCAACGCGTAGGAAGGATTTCATATGTTACATTTCTGATAAACCAGTTTAAGTGATGTTCTATTTCCGGCTGTCCGATATTGAAAATGGCCAACATCTTAGCCCCCAGATCGCATACATCCTAAATTTATTATTGTTATAACAACTGTTAATACAAAGATGGCTGTCTTCCGTGCTATAGCACCTTTTAGTGTGGTAGACTTTACCAACGTTTCAGAGGTTCTTGCTACGTCCTTCTTCAGGGCGAAGATGTTTGTTTAAATGGTTATGTATACTTTAATTTCCACTATTATGCGTTTTAGTAGTTATTAAACTATTCACTAATTGAGTCTTATTTTGTACGTACCTTTCAGTATATTTTATGTAGTTTTTCTATCAGTAAATGCAGTTAAAGAGAGAAAATGTTTCTCATTGAAATACATGCACATATGGTGACCGCGAAACTTATGTTATACGTCTCTGGGGGCAGGCATCAAGTTTTCCCTGAACTCATTTGGTTAGTGGTACATTTAATGTGTTATATTAGAATTAGTGTTACGCCAGAGAAAAAGGTTGAGAACCCCTGGTTTAGAACATACAGAAAGACACTTCTATGCCCTATGGACATATAGAGTGCTTTCAGTTTCCCTCTTTCAAATCTGTGGCTTCTAGAATATGATTGGTACAGCGGCCTTCAAGAACCTTGACAGACATACAATTCAAATAGCAAACGTGGGAACATCAGAGCACACGTGTGACCAGCCAACAGGTTCTCGTACAATGACCCTTCATGACTCCCTCTCTCCCTCGTGCTACATGCTACAATTCACAAACCAGCAGAAAATCCCTGCTAGGAATTCGATATACGCGCATGCGCAAGATTTCGCGGTGAGTGACGACCCATCCTAAAAGCATTCGTTCCACAACCACTGAACGAACAACAGACGACAGGCTTTCACGTGTTCTAATGGGTACAGCTTTAAGATTACCTCACAGTGGCACAGCGATTTAATCTAGAATATTATTACAACACCCACAGGACACAGTACAGACGCTCTTACTACAGGCTAATCTCAACTGCCTGATGTTTTCAGTCTGTGTTGTAGTAGCGTAAAAAACTGACGTGTCACAGTTCCCACCAATAGCAGCCCTCTAGTCCACCAGACAGTAAATATTCCCCCCGCACCGCACCAGAAACGACTTCGCCCAGCAGGGTTTTTCTCGTGATCTGTGGACAGTAGTTGATATGGCGACTTCTAACAGTGGCATGGCTCGTCCTGTGTACGAGGGTTTAAGAGACTGCCTTCTGACACGAAAAAGGTGCACAAGGATTTGGGCACAGCCGACAATCGGTGGTCCTCGAACATCTAACAGTTCATCACATTTTTATTGAAATAATAAGAGAACGGGCTTGGTCGGTCGTGAGCTTAAAAATCGAAAGAAAAAAATTGGATATGTTAGCGATTGTCAACACGCAGGTCTACTTTTTTTTAACCTGTTATTTCCTCCCCAACGGCTTTTTCAGGCTTTGCAGCCAATGAAAAATGCTTTATAATGAAAATGTTGAATCCAAGATATTAAATTACGCACTCCGTTGAAATTGACGTTGATACACATGCATGTATTTTCCCACCCAGATGGCGTTTTCTTAATTTATTCGACGACGTAAAAGTAAAGTTTGTCCCACTATACGCCATGTAGGCGCTTGGGGGGAGAGGAGTTATAGCTCCTCTCTACCTTGACCTCGGCACTAGGTGGGGGTGAGTGGTCAGCATCACGCCCCGGCCGGCTTTACCCCCGGGAAAGGACCCCGGAATCCATTGTAGAGGAGACTGGGTGGGCCCCAGAGCCTGTCTGGACACAGGAAAAAAAAAAATCGTTCGCCCCCGTCGGGGATCGAACCCCGGTCGTCCAGCCCGTAGCTAGTCACTATACTGACTGAGCTATCCCGGCTCATATTCGACGACGTAGTGGTGTTAAATACGTACGCACTCATCGCAGAAGCTCCAAAATACGTCTCCCTTAACGCAACACAGTGTTGCTAGAATGTACGTGCACCTCACGGATGTTAAAGACGTGCAAGTTCGTCTCTGCCGATGACGTAGCGTGGACAGAAGCGAATTCTGGTTACGTAAGGACACAGGGTATGAGTGAGACCGTAAGCCAGTGTCAGTCGCGAGCTTCTGTTTTATTGTTGTCATTTATAATCTCGCCCTAAAAGGAAGTCAGTTAGCGCATTCCAGAGAAATGACACATCAGACCATAATCCACCGACTTGCCTTATATCCATGCTATTCCCTAGGCAAAAACCGTACATGAACATCAAGAAAGCAGCTTAATGGATCAGAGTCCTTTATGACAGCCAGTAACCTGAAGAAGACAGTGTGGACAACTATCGAAACATCCTGTCAGCAATTCCTCGCCAATCGCTGTTTCTCCAACTGCAGTTGTCAACTTGCGTCAATTGTAGCCGGCGTTGGCATTTGTTTTCATGTATTTGTGACTTACAGACGCGGGAAGTTTTTGAGATTCCGCGCATTCGCTGACTGCAGAATTGCAGTAGCTTCGGGAAATCAGTTTTATAGTGCGGAGAAGAGATTGTTATCGACGTGTGTTGTTGTGTGGCACATATCTGTTGTGTTAGTATTTTAAATGCTGTGTTTTTATCGTTCGTAGCTTGACCTCGGTTTCCCACAAGGCGTTGGTTCTGCAAACCGCAGTGCGTTCATTAACATAACTTCCGCGACGAGTTGGGGATTACTGTGTTATGAAACTTGTGTCCGACAACGGAAAATGCCCAATGTAATACGAGTATACCTGCGAATTGAAATTCTTTTGCACATAAATTGTTGTAATGCTGTTTTCATTTTAAAGTTTTTGTTGTGTAACTATTATCAACGCTTCAATAGTTGATCCAGGTCTTGAATTAAAAATTAAATTACGTTGTGTTTACCGAAAAATATTTGAAGGAAGATAAACATAAATTAATATAGTATGAACGTATATATTACATCTAAAGACGAAAATACGCGGTGTATCGGATGTCTGTGAATAACCACATAATATAAAATCTTCAAAAGCTTTAATCACGTTTTGTACCTGTCGACTTAAGCCGTTCTTATTTTTGTCGATCTACAAACTCCACGCTTAGCGTAAAATAAATTATTTGTCATGTATTAAAAAAAATATTCGGAAAACGATTTTAAAATACGTATCAGAAATTCAAAAAACAATTTCTTAGCATAATGTGGGCTTTGCCTCAGCCCCTATATGACTTATCAGCCCGCCACATTATCCAAGGCCTGTCCTTCACACATGACTGAAGACCCTTTCAATTTCTTATCTGGCAAACATGTTGTTATACAAAGCACATGAAGGCGTCACACATTGAGTTTGTGAGAAATTTGTAACGAAATGTGAGGAATGATTGTGGGTTACGATATGATGGAAAATCCAAAAATTCCAACAAAAGATATTCAGTTTTTCTGGTTACATCCGACAATTAAACTAGAAAACTAGTGAGGCAATAGGATTCTGAAAACGTCAGCAAGGAAGAGACTCGAAACATTTGTACATTTGTCCTTCCTGCTTTAAGAACGATAGGTCCACCCACCACCGATCTCAGACATTGCCTGCGTCACTTCTCGCCCTGTGGTTGGCAAACGTCTTCGAACGCAGCTGGAACACGGCATTATCACAACGCCACTAATAAAAACAGGAATGGATCCAAATGTAACAGAAATAATAACGATAAGAGTGAACTAGGCATCGCGTAATAAAGACAGGGTTGATGTTAAAAGCATTCAGGACTTTGGCAGTACGTCGGAATGAGTGAACCTTCTTTAGGCCGCTGAAGGCAGAAGCTCTCTGCTCAGTGGACATAATAATAAGGAAATCGATGATAAAAAGTTGACAGTGGATCCACGGTTCCGGAGAATTAGACGTAAATACGTCTATACGGAAAGGAAGTTTATATATTGGCTTTATTCTAAATATTTCCTTTATACATGCTTTACAATTGAGTAAAGTTTGATTAAGACTTTGCTTATTTAACTTGAATTAGATACGCTTAAGATGGGTCTGTGGTAGCTGAATGTAATGTATTGTAATGTAATGTAAGGTAAGGTAAGGTAATGTAACGTTTCCTAGGTAACAACAATGCCGAGTGAACACGACGTTCCCTCGGTAACCATTGTTGTCGATTTGTTGATATGGATCTTACACATTTTCGTTCCACGTTTTCATTTCACTTTTTCGTTCCCCCTTTTTGCCGAATGACCCTTCCTTATAGACGTATTTACGTCAAAAATAATAATATACCAGCAAGAACAAAGTAGATCCATGCGGCACTATCAAGCATTGCCCCACGCCTTATACAACGCGAAAGTTTCTTATGGCATTCAGAAAAGTCCGCACTATTTCTTATCCTGAATGAATTCAAACAACTTCGCCTTTCCACATTGTTCTTTTTAATTGTTTTATTATGTTCTTATTCACGCATGGGTCTTCGATATTGTATCTTCCTTTCAGAAATTCGGGCTACGCGTTTGTTATCACATTTTCCGTCAAAGTGATGTTTATTTTATGAAAAAAGACGTGCAGGGGTACAGAACACATTACAATTATTTATGTACACTTTATAGACGAGATTCAGTCTCACTCTATCGCGTAATAACATTCTCAAGTAAAATAGATGCGACGAACATCTAAAGTTGATAGATTTCCCTAAAAACGAGACTGTACAAATGTTACAACAATAAATACAA